GGGGGGGGGGGGGCGCCTTGTTGTACAACGTCGTTGCTCAGCGACGAAAACCCGACCCCGATGGCAAACACCTCAGGGGGGGGTTCTAGGGGAGGGTGCTTAAAAAAGAGCACCGAAGGAGGGGCTCGAACCCTCGACCACAAGATTAAGAGTCTTGCGCTCTACCGACTGAGCTACTCCGGCTGCTGCACATCGGTGAAAGGGTGGGGGAGGTAATAGATGGAAGACGTTTACCGAATACAGGGAGACAGCAGAAAACGGGAAAAAAAAACGGCAACAAAGGCAAAACCAACGAGACGAGAGAACAACCTTCGAAACGGGAAGAAATCCACCAAAACAAACAAAACAAATCGAAGTACGACCGAGTGCGTGACGATGCCAGGTCCCCATCCAGCTGTGGGTAGTGTCTCTGGTACATGCCTTGAAACGAAAAAGTGCAAAAGTTGCACAACGAACAGCAGGTTCGGGTGAGGTGACCTCATGTCGAGGCACCGCCGACACTCAGGAAACCACCACAAAAGCGACGAATAAGACAGAAAAACAATTATTCTTGAAGAAACAAGGCGAAAATATGTAATAAAAATAAAAATAATAAAAAATAATAATAATAACAATAATAATAATAATAATAATAATAAAAGTAATAATAATAATAAAAATAAAAATAAAAAAATAATAATAATAATAATAATAATAGTAAGGCAAGCAAATCGCAAAGAAAGAGAGGAGAACAAGCAAGGCGAAAGGCATGGATCGACGGCCTGCTTTCGGCCGTGATGTGCGGGCTTCTCCGCCAAGACGCAGAAGCTGCACGTAAAAAACGCGTTCCAACTGTTACCTCCAGAGAACAGCGTGTGTGTGTGTGCAGCGGTTTCCTTCGCACAACGTACGCACCTACATGCAAACCCTCAACAGGGGCAGCGCAAACGACGCCGGGAGAGAAGGCGAGTCATCACAACCGCAACGACAAAAAGAGGCCTACAAGAGAGCGAGAGGTGTTTCATAGGTGTTGGTCTCTGGCGTTCGTTGCGGCAGCGGTCGCAAGTGTAGTAAAAGGGGAACCTCTATTTCCACATCGAGGGCGAGAGCATCCCGGCGGTGCGCACACGCCGACCCCGTACACACAAACGTAGTCTGGCGTAGTAAAGGAGTTGCAGAGAACCTCAGCACGTTTCTTTTGTCAAGAAAAACACGAAGGCGCACACACCTGCATCGCTGCGTTGAAGCTGAAAATGTCCGGCTTGAGCCCTCTCTCGGACATTTCGTTCAGCAGCGCCCTACCCCAGGACAACGCAGCACGGCGTCATTCAGAAAGGACAGCAATATAATGAATTGATGGAAGACTCGCGATCAGAACATCGCAGGAGAAAGGAGAACCGGCTCGTCTCGTTAGAGAAAACGTTGTGGTAACCTCATTCAAAGGAAAGCTCCGGCTCAGCAACAGGAAGGAACCAACCTAGGCCTAAAGGTCGTCAGATGACCATAGAACAAAGCTAAAGGGGTGTTCATCACCCAAAAGGTCCCCCCCCAGAAGACCATACGAGGTCAATGATCTAACGACTACGGCATGCACGACTTTGGGTACACCCCCCCCAAAAAAAACACCATACAACAGCGAAGCTAGCACCATGAAACAACGCACGGAATGCGTGTTTTACAGGGCGACACTGCTGAGGCCGAGGCTTAAGTCGCGATTTTTTCGGAGATTTTGTTTTGCGCTCGGTCGAGGGGGGATGGTCTGCAAGGGAAAAATTATCTACATCCAAACGACCTTCTCATGGTTCCTCGAGACAGATTTTTTTTCAGGGGATAAAAAGGGCCGATTCAAGTCTTTGTGGGTCACAACATGCTTCAGTTCACGGTTTTGGTTCGTGTGCGACCAACAAGACACCGTGCGCTCTGTTTTTGGGTCGCCTCCAGAGGGCATGTGTATAATCGCACGCCAGTGACAGCAGTTTGTGGATGTCGTCGAACAAAGGCTTCTCTCTGGCATGCGTTGTGGACTGATCACGCTCGGAGCAACCAGAAAAGAAAAGGCAAAGTCCAAAAAAAAGTCAAAACCGCAAAGGGTTTGTGCATGACCTCATGATACTGGCCTCTGTTTGGCCAGCAGACGGTGTGGTTCCTCGTTCTGGCACGGTCGGGGTGTGACCAGGGGGTGACCCCCTCCAATTCCAAACTGGAAATTATCAGCCGATCCAGCTTCGAAAATGGGCCTATTTTCCAACGCGGCAGCTGGGATCCTAGGATATATTCGGCGATTTGGATTTTGGGCGTCTGGAATTGGCCAAATTCCTCCGCGTAAGACGCTCAAAAAATTATTTGGGCTGAGAAAAGGACCCCCCCCAAAAAAAAAAAAAAAA